TGTTTCTTGACTTCCTACTTTTGCATTCCAGTCCCCTATAATGAAAAGGACATCTTTTTTGGGTGTTAGTTCTAGAAGGTCTTGTAGGTCTTCATAGAACCGTTCACCTTCAGCTTCTTCAGCATTACTGGTCGGGGTATAGACTTGAATTACTGTGGTATTGAATGGTTTGCCTTGGAAACGAACAGAGATCATTCTGTTGTTTTTGAGATTTCATCCGAGTATTGCATTTCAGACTCTTTTGTTGACTATGAGGGCTACTCCATTTCTTTTAAGGGATTTTTGCCCACAGTAGTAGATATAAAGGTCATTTAAGTTAAATTCACCCATTCCAGTCCATTTTAGTTCACTGATTCTTAAAATGTCAGTGTTCACCCTTGCCATCTCCTGTTTGACCACTTCCAATTTGCCTTGATTCATGGACCTAACATTCCAGGTTCCTATGCAATATTGCTCTTTGCAGCATCGGACTTTACTTCCATCACCAGTCACATCCACCACTGGTATTTTTGCTTTGACTCTGTCTCTTCATTCTTTCTGGAGTTATTTCTCCATTGATCTCTAGTAGCATATTGGGCACCTACCAACCTGGGGAGTTCATCTTTCAGTGTCCTATCTTTGTGCCTTTTCATACGTTCATGGCTTTTATGAAGGAAAAAATACTGAATTGCTTTGCTATTCCCTTCTCCAGTGGACCACGTTTTGTGAGAACTCTCCACCATGACCCATCTCTCTTGGGTGGCCCTACAGGGCATGGCTCATGGTTTCACTGTGTTAGACAAGGCTGTGATCCATGTGATCAGGTTGTTTAGTTTTCTGTGATTGTGGTGTTCAACCTGTCTGTCCTCTGATGGAGAAGTGTAAGAGGTTTATGGAAGATTCCTTTTTGGAGAAGCTAACTGAGGGGGAAACTGGTTCTTGCCCTGATGGGTGGGGCCATGTTTAGTAAATCTTTCAACCGATTTTCTTTTGAAGGGCAGGGCTCTGTTCCCTCCCTGTTATTTGACCTGAGGCCAAACTATGGTTGAGGAATGATGATAATTGTGACCTCCTTCTAAAGGATCACTATGTGGTCACTCTGCCTTTAAGAACACTGGGAGAATTTGAAAGCAATGTCTTTCAAAACAACCAATGAAGGAGCTTCCTTTAGGGAGCGAAATTCAGCTCTATTTAAACAAAGCAGAACAGTGAAGCATTTTTAGAATCCCAACACCACTGCTCCTTTTCACAGTTTGGTTTGCCCTCTTTCAAATTAACACCCTGGCATCCACATTAGAATTGAAACTGACAAGGCATCCCTTTCATCCCTGACTGCCAAAACTCCTTACTAATAATAATTAGCCATTCCTGGCTGCTATCCAAGAGAGTTTAATAAATACTAGAATGACTTCTGGGCCTCAGCTTCATTTCTTACCTCAGCTAAGGAATGATGGGTGGAGGGGAGGGAACACTACTCTATGGAATAAGATTTGCTGAATAGCATCAGGGCAGCAAAATGACTTCTCAGCTGTCTATTATGAATAATCATTATTTAAATATATATTTTATGTTAGTGTATGTGTAGAAATGTTCATTAAAACAGGTCATATTTAGCTTAATAAAGTTTATTTCTATACCTGTCTTAGAAAATGTGTAGTATATACCATTGGAACTTTTGATAATAACTTTTTATACATTTCATATGGTGTGCTTTAAGAGGAAATGTAACTGGCTTTGATTTCCAGGTAAACATGATTTATAATATTCCACATCTATACAATAAAATAATATGGGTGGTATTTAAGATTAGTCATTATGAATGTATCATTTAGTTAATGAGTAAATACTTCCATTTGGTTTGCAATGTTACCTATCTTAAATATTTACAGAGCATACTGAATGCCTTGATAAGAGCAGGTGTTGCCATAATTATTAGAAGAAATATTGTGGTATGGGGAGTTTCTTTCCAAACATCTGGTTTGGAAGAAGGCATTTCTATTCCAATCTTTTTGGGAAGGAAAATATCAAAGAATAGTTATTTTGGTTTTTCTTGCATTTTACTCTGCAAGGCAGAAGGGAACAACATCTGATTGGTGAAAATGGAAGGGGCTATGCAAAGACTTTTTTTTTTCTGTTTTTTTCAAGAGTAACCTATTTCCAGGATTCATTCATTCTCTGTGTCCTAGGGCCAGGTCTGCTCCATGAAGGAATGAAGACTGGCACCCCAGAGTACTGGATAAATCTGGAGTATTCAGAGAAGAGGAGTTAGGTTCTCCATACATCCACTGGCCCAAAGAAGTATCTTTACCTCTATTTCACTACCTCCTGAACCTTATTTTAAAACTCTTCAAAAGATGTAGAGGAAGAGTCAGACCTATTTATTTGCTCTAAAACTCTGATCCAGCTGCTCTGTGGTGAGTATAAACACATGGCACATGTGTGAGTGTGTCTTATTATCCTTGGCAGTTTCTGGTTTTTGCTAATCTGAAAGAAATATAGATGAAGCTTTGGCCCTTGTTTCAAGGTCTTAATCCCTGAATAGTCCTCTGCCAGAAATGAAATATTTGGGAGTTTGTTTCATGAAATCTTATTAAAGATACTAAGAGACAAGATGATCACCTCACTAACTAACCAGTGTTACCTGCCCAGTTTCTGACTTGAGATTTCACTTTGATGAAACTTGTATGAAACTTGATTAGAAAATGAACTAACTTTTCTTATAATTTCATAAGAAAATGATTTAATGGATCATTAGGAGAATTTAACTCTAACTTGGACCATATTTTCAGAACATAAATATTAAACCCCTAACTAATTTTATAATTAAAATTTAGTTTCATCAACATATATTTATCTAACAATTAGAGTAGAAATCATCATTTTGGATTTTGAACAAGAATTAACACACTACAGTCAGGAATTCAGAACATTTATTGCAAGAGCTGAATAATTGTAAATAACGTAGAACTGGCAAAGCAGTAACAAGGATAATTGTTTAGATATTTATTCTGTCAAAGTCATCAAACACCCCTCACAAACCGACAAATATGTACTGCAATAAGCAATGCACCCCTACCCATTATTTTCCATTATACTGTGGAAAAAATGTGAATTGCTATTTACAAAGTAATTTTATTTTTGGTAAGAACAAATTATCTATCAGATTAGCAAACCATTTTTTTATTTTTATTTTATTTTATTTTTTTTTAACTTTTAAGCTGATGTTGAACCGTGGCATTAAGATAACTTTCACTTCTTTCAGTAAAAACATTTTGTTGCATGCTATTTATTTGTTTAAATCATCTGTCATGCCTTAACAAAAACCTCCTAAGAATGTTCGAATTTGGATTTGTTTGCACGTGCAACTGAGATCTTATTAACATTAGTTGTCACTCTGTTGGTTTGACCTAAGTGACAAGATGCTGGTACCTGCCAGGCATTGACCAACTATGATAACAAACAGTTAAACAGCAATAATTAGAGATTTATCCCTTAATTTCCCCCAACTAGCCTACCTGGAGAATGTTCTGTTACATCATGAAGGCACAACACATTAAATATTTTGTGGCTATGGTCTAACACTTGTGTTACAACAACATTATTATATATGAGGACCAACACAAACTGTCATTTCAACAAAGTTGTAGACACACATTTGCCCAATTGAAACTATTTTGAATATTAATTTTTCTTTAATATATGCTAATTTAATATATTAATTCTGCATGAGTGACAAGCACAGGATATTACTTCACTTTCTGAAAGATAACACTTTCCCATTAGTATCTCACTTAATGCTACTAAATAAGTGATTTTGCTTTCGCCTACTTTGAAAATAAGGATGTCAAGAAAATAGGTTCTGAATTTTCAAGCTTTTGCAGAAGTCCTTTTATATATGAAGTTTTCATTTTTATCTTTATTTTTTAGAATTCCAGCAACATAAGCTATCATAAAAGAAGGAAGATTCCAGAACCTTTTCTTTAAACACAAGTATTTGAGATCTTTTGAACAATGTGTGTCAAGACAGACTACTAACGCAGAAACACCTCACTAAAAGAAACAACAAAAATAACAACAAAGAGGCAAACAAAAAAAGGAAAGAAGCAACCATAAAACACAGAATTATGCTACAACATTTTTAGGTGAACGATATAAGTACATAAAAGTTGTTAATAATAACTTGCTTCTATTTACAAATACTTTAACACTGATTGACTTACAAGTGTCCACTAATGTTGTTAACAGCACAATAGGTTTAATGCTTATCTTTTTAAGTTTTGTTTGAAGTATAATGTCAAGTATAGCAGTCTCAGCACAGATCAGTGACAAAAAGAGCACAATTTTCTAACTGGATATGTCTGTCAGTCACTCTAATCCATGGAACTTCCTTACTCTCCAAATGCATATTCTATTATTCATAGCAGCAGTCCAGGGTCAAAACAAAATGCAATTTAAAAAAAGATATTTGCACAATGGAGATACTTCTGGAAAGTTTAATCAATCCTAGTAAATAAGATCATATGGCTAGTAGAACTATCTTCTCTCATGTGATAAAACATTGTATCCTCCATGGTGCCAACACAAAATTATGGGTATCCCTGCTCTAAGGGGCATAGTTGTAGAGATCTATTGAATACATAAAGCTCTGACACACACGGTATTAGCATGTCTATTTAGATTAAAGTCCTTAGGTCCCATATGGCCTTTTTCTTTAGAGTTGGTGCTCCTTAGGACTCTCAATAGCACCTCCTGCTTGCTTATAAGACTTCAGATTTGCCAAAGGAATGTCTGTCATGTGGCTGCCATTGTTGAAATGGCCTTCAGTGGAGACATACTGCTTACGGTCATTGAACTGGTTCCTGTTGCTCTCTTCTTTCCAGGCTCTGGTCAGGGTGTGCCCATTCACAAGCTTGTCCTTCTTGATCCATTCTTTTTGGGGTGCAAAGGTTGAGAGAGGAGATTTAGGGTGTTGATATGGACCCAAGCCAGGAGGCATCCAGCAATTATCAGAGTGACCCAAAACCAAGCACTCTTGAGTGCACATCTCTGTAGCTTCAGCTAATCCTCGGGGGCCCAGAGGCCCATCTGCAGAGGACAAGAGACAAAAATAATAAGGAAAGAGAGTGGGGAGAGTTTTCATTTTAAATTATATTCTTAGAGAAAAACTGCACTGGTGATTTCTTTTTCTCATGAAAATCGTATTAAGCAATTCATAGATATGATTCCCCATCCTTTTTTTTCCACTTTTTAATTTTGCAATATTGTGTTGGTTTCTGCCATACAACAATGCAAATTAGCCATAATTATACACAGAGCCCCTTTCTCCCCTTCTTGCCCTCTCCCATCCCATCCCTCCAGGCCATCACAGAGTGCAGACTATAATCCCTGGGCTGCACAGTAGCTTCTCACCAGCTATCCATCTCACATCTGATAGTGTATATATGTTGATACTACTTTCTCCATCTGTCCCACTCTCTCCCTCCACCACTGTGTCCACAAGTTCATTCTCTAGATTTGCCTCTCCATTCCTTCCCTGAAAATAGATTCATCAATACCTTTTTATAGATCCTTCCCTGAAAATAGGTTCATCAATACCTTTTTCTAGATTCCATATATATGCATTAATACACTTTGTTTTTCTCTTTCTGACTTACTTCACTCTGTTTAACAGGCTATAGGTTCATCTACCTCATTAAAACTGAAATTTATTCTTTTTTTATGGCTGAGTAATATCCTATCCTTTTAAGAATTACATAGAAGGAATAAAATTCCTTGTTTTGGAGGTAAGAATTACTCTTTCCCTTAAGCCATCTTATATCTAGAGATATAGACAAATAAAAAAATAAGTAGATATATAGATATGGGTAAACAAATGTACCCATGATGTATCATTTCAGATCAACTTTTTCTATGACATATGTATTATTACTGATTTATGCCCAAATTCTCAACAAAAACTCACATTCATTCATGAGAAATAATGAAATTTACAAAATTTTATGTACAATGCCATAAGATGTTAATTAAAAACTCCAAGAATACAAAAAGTGTTACTTGAAATATAATATTAAATATAAATACTGTGAATGGTTACACAAAATGATCTTCCATGTAAACATATCTTAATATGAAATTTATTAAAATAACTTTGCAACATTCTTTTTTTAATTTAAGTAATAATTTTAAAGAATATTTTAACTAAAATATGCTACTAAAGACACACCTGGTTGACTTCAAGCATTGTGAAATCCAAGTAAATAAAGATCCCATGTGGTTCCTTCCAAGCTTAACCTATTTTCTTGATTTATAAATGTATTAAATAACCCAAATTTCATTAGCATGAAGTTCTAGCTAGGTTGCAAATTGGAGCACATAGAGTGTAATATTCAAAGAGAAAAAAGTCATCATAGATATTTCTCTCGCTCTCTCTTTTTTTTTTTTTTTTATACCAGAAGGCACTCTAAAACATTTTAACCATGATTTTGAAAGTAAACTATTCTCTGATTATACAAAGAGAAAATCAGTTCTGTACTGAAAAACAGTAGGTGTCAAATGATTAAGGGTCAAATGGTCAAGGGTTAAGTTGGGCTTTTTGTTGTCCTGTTTTCTTTCCCTTGATTAAACAGTCAAGTGATAAGTGATAGCTTGAAAATTAGGAACTGATTTTACAAATGAGGTTAAGCATCAGATAGGCAATGATGCTTAAGGAATAAAACATTTTCAAAAGCTGAGAGTCATCAGAATAGAAATGTAGAAGAAAACATGTCTGCAAGTTTGCCTACCCAACAACTAAAAGAGCCAACAATTGGAATGCAGGTCTCTGCTAAAATCCAAGTTAGCATTACCAATATCTTTAAATGCCCAATAATTGTGGAGTATTTATATTGACATCTATTTGTCTTAATAATATTCTAGTTATTTCTTGCATGCTAAAAAAAAAAAAAAAACTTGCTGAGATAGGTAACTGTCAGTGGCAAATACCTGACCTTCATACACAGACAGCATCAGAATGGACACTGGATGTGAAAGGGGGCGGGGGGGGGGGNCTGTCAGTGGCAAATACCTGACCTTCATACACAGACAGCATCAGAATGGACACTGGATAAGAAGGGGGGGGGGGGGGGGGGGGGGAAGGTGCTTAAAATGTACCCTTACTGAAATTTTAGTCTGTTTTGAAGTGTGAAGTCTGCTCTTTAGAATAACAGTAAACTTCCTTCCCATGTGATTCATAGTCCCATCCCCTCAAAAGCAATTAGCTTTATTTTTTAAAACATATGTTCATTACTTAAAACTATTTCTCTCACAAACTTTCAATGATCACTTACTCACTAGGATATTTAATTTAACCTTCTCTGTGAACCTTTCTCTGTCCTCTGAATTTTGCCCACACTTTAAAATTTCAAACTAATTTCTCCTTTATAGGTTCGCTTTGGTGTGTTCAGTGACTCTGTATCCACAAAGCTAACATGTTTTGATTTTGTTCAAACTAATCGGTGCCCCTTCCGTCAGAATCACAGACCTAGAAAGTGCTTTAGCCTGGCTTGTTTTCATTTAATTACTGACTCTATCAAGGGGCAGTTTGCTTCCCATGTACCACAGCAAGCTTCCCTAACTTTGCTAATTCATATATGGTATGCACTGGGAAGATTTCCAAAGATCAGTTCAGTTCAGTTCAGTTCAGTTCAGTCACTCAGTCATGTCCAACTCTTTGCGACCCCATGAATCGCAGCACACCAAGCCGCCCGTGTCCAACTCCAGGAGTTTACTCAAACTCATGCCCATCGAGTTGGTGATGCCATCCAGCCATCTCATCCTCTGTTGTCCCCTTCTCCTCCTGCCCCCAGTCCCTCCCAGCATCAGGGTCTTTTCCAATGAGTCAACTNCTGTTGCTTCCTGACCTGCACACAGGTTTCTCAAGAGGCAGGTCAGGTGGTCTGGTAGTCCCATCTCTTTCAGAATTTTCCACGGTTTATTGTGAGCCACACAAACACTTTGGCATAGTCAATAAAGCAGAAATAGATGTTTTTTTTCTGGAATTCTCTTGCTTTTTCGATGATCCAGTGGATGTTGGCAATTTGATCTCTGGTTCTTCTTCCTTTTCTAAAACCAGCTTGAACATCTGGAAGTTCACAGTTCATATTTTACTGAAGCCTGGCTTGGAAAATTTTGAACATTACTTTTCTAGCATGTAAGATGAGTGCAATTGTGCAGTAGTTTGAGCATTCTTTGGGATTGCTTTTCTTTAGGATTGCCTTTCTAATGCATAACAAACTCCCTAATTGAACCCACTCAACTTTTACATTATGGTATTTTTGTCTTTTGTCTCTAGGGTCTGTACAATCATGAGTATACATTTTTATTTTTGTTTTCTCTCAACTAGATTTAAAATCCATTGATGAAAAAAAGTAATGATCTGTTTTCTTATTCCTCCTGGTGCTAAACAATAGCAATGATTTATGTACAATGTTAATTGTTAATTAAATTTTTATGAGGTTGAAAATGTTCTGAGAAATTATTAAAGATATCCTCCACTTAAAAGGCAGAACTTAAGTAATCAGAATATGCTGATTTCACAAATATCATACCAAAAGCTTCCTCAACAACAAATCTCTTTGCCTTAGCAATACTTGTGACAGTTAATAAGTGGATTATTTAACTTCTCTGTTAAATATGTTCACTCCTTTTTAGACCAGTAGAGATAATCAATATATAATATATCTTTAAGTCTATCAATCAATTCTTAACTTTTACTATTCCAGAATCACTAGTACATTTTTCTTTTCTTGTTTATAGCTCCAAAGTGGGGGGAGAGGGGATTATTAGCTACTTTAGAAATATCAATAGCATCAGGATTTTATAGAGTACATAAAAAGAGAGAGTATGCAAGATTATTTTTTAAATACTTATCTAATATACATTACTATCTTATTAAATTAAGGGTATTACCCAAGAAGTGAGAACACTGTGTGTGTGTATTGTGTGGACCTGAAACCTTCAGCACTGAGTGACATATTTTAACAAAACAGTGTGCATTATTTTTCAGAACTGATAACATTTATTTATTCCATAAATATTTACTGAGCATGTACTATATGCTGACACTGTGACAGGCACTGGGAAAATAGCAGTTAACAAAGCAGATGTCAACACTGTCCGCATGGAACTATGCATCTCCCCTGGGAAACAAATAATTGCCTTAAAAGCAGCAAACCAAGAGATGAAAAAAGAGCGTCATTGGGAAGGAGGTAGAATTTAAGGAGGCTTGTGTCTTCACAAGGCAACAGGGGTACTTTGTCCCAAGCTATATAATTTCTACATTTTTCTGAAAGTTCTCACAGATAACTGATAATTTTAAGACATTTACAGTTAACATTTGTGTGTACTGTATAAAATCTTTAACTTACAAAAATATTGTTCCATTAAATAGTGTTAGTTGCTCTTGAAAAATGTATATGTGATTCATTCTTTTAAATAAATTTGAAAGGTTCTGATAAAGTCTGTAAATAAATTTACAGAAGTTCTGTAGATTCTTAGATCAGTCTTTTAGGTATCTAATTGCTTTACAAAATTTAAAGATTCATCAAAAAGTGGGACACAACACAATGATGGCAATTGCCTGACAGCCAGGTTTTGTTACCTATAGCCCTAAAAAAGGCCACCAGGCAGGTCCCCACAGAAGGTTGTACCAAGAACAGTATAAAAATAAGCTAGAATTGTAGTGGACAGTTTATGTATCGCCAACCAGGGTGGGAGGAGCTAGGTTCTGAGTGCCCTCTGTGGATTGACTGATTTGAATAATTTTTCAGATTCTAGGGCACAGAGGCTGTCTCAAGTTATCTGCCAACCTGACCTTTCCAGCAGTTAGGGTATATGCTTCATGACCTACAAGCGTGAGAGCTCTAGAAGGGAAGTGGTGGGATATGAATTTATTCAAAAAGGGAAAGTGACCAGCCAGGATCACAGAAATGGGTCCAACCACCATCTATCTATATAGAGATCTACCTATCTATCTATATACCCTCATTACAACAATTTGCTCATATAATTGAGCTCCATTGTTGGAAAATTTACTTTGCTTATTTTCT